TGACGTTAATGAAAAAAGCACAGTTGTCCAGCGCTAGCAACTCAAATTCGCATGACTGAACTACGAAATCTTAGCGTGTAAGCTAGGTGCACTCCTATTTGAATGATTAATTGTACATATTTATGTATATGTAGGACCAATAATTGTGTTTATGAGACAGGACATGCTTGTTAGCTATGCAGCGCTTACTTGACAAAGTGGTCGCTGCAGATCGAAGCATTTTTAATCATCTSCTCGTTYCAATCGGTTCTTCTGATGGCTYGCAACCAGAGAYGTCTCCTGTTAGCCTTAAAAGTGCTGCGAGTTGATGGAAATCTGTAAAAGTTRYGCGTTTTATTGTTTTTATCGAAGCYGTTTGTGCGGCCGACAGCGCAACAAGACAYGATGACAGGTTCTTTCTGCAGCGGMCATGCGCAGTAGACCCGGATGYGACGTTGCCTGATAATCCCTCTGCAGGTCACTAAAGTGGCAAAAATTGTGCTAAAGAAAAACAGTGCAAAACATTTTGGTCACAAATCAAATGAGATCCTTCAAATAATATAAATMCAACTCTGCAAGCTACAGCAAAACATTTTCAAACAAAACAAAAAGTTATCWGTATAGACCGATTCTAATTCTCTGAAATGCTAAACCCCTGCTATAGTCAACACAATCATGTTCCCTTACTTTATTTTGAAAGGGAGCAGTTCTCCAGAAACCTTATTATCTTTAACTAGTTGTTCTGCCTCTGGATCTTCCTTAATTTCAAAGTCACATTGTGCTGCAAATACAGAGAGTTTTACTTGGCTGTTGAAGGTTTGTAGGTGCAACAATAGATAGCTCTGCAATTGGAGCAGTAATGACAACTGTGTTCCGGTCCACTCCATAGTGCTTGAATGCATTAGCCATTGTACCRCCTTTCTTGAAGAGTTTCAGAAGTTTTTTGTAGTGAATCACTACTTGTTTTGGATGTTGGGTTGCAAATTTACCATACCATACCATTTTTATTTATAAAACACTTTAAACAGCACAAGGACAACCAAAGTGCTGTACAATAGAAAGACACAACAGGACATAGTTAAAATACAGTCAAAATACAGTTAAAAATATTGAGAATTTATATTTACAGTACATATAGAACAGAGTTATGATGCACGGGGAGGTTTTGCACCATTTCACTCAGACTCAAAGGCAAGGGAATAGTAGTGTGTTTTTAAACGAGACTTGAAGACAGCGAGGGAAGGAGACTGTCTGACATGTAGTGGTAGATCATTCCACAGTTTTGGACCTGC